GACAGTGTCATTAATTTAGTTTACTTTGTAAATTTTTTTCGGTGGAAGTTAGATAGTGATAATGGAATAATAATTTGATTATTTTATTTTGACATGTTTCGATTTGCTTCAGATTTGTTTTAGCCGCAGTACTCCTATCTAGATGAGGTTGTATCATGGAGTTGTATATAATATATCTCACTGATTTTGTCAGACAGCGAATATTACCTCGAGGCGTACCCATGATAGAAGACAGCTTAGATCTTAATTTGTCTAGGTGCGGTTGCCACGTTAAGTGTGTATCTAGGTGGAGTCCAAGATACTTTTCTGTACTAACTTTGGTTAAGGGTTCGTTATTTATGCGGAGAGTCAAGCAATTTTCGGTTTTTTGTTCTTAGCACTGAAAATAATGTGATTAGTTTTAGATGTGTTAACAGTAAGCAAATTTTCTTGGAACCATCTAGATGTAATTAGTAGAGTGTATCCAAATCTTGCTGTGCTTGTGTAATGATCTGTTTGAAACATGTGTCGTCAGCATATAGTATTATATCACTTGACAGATTAAGGTTATGCACATCGTTTACGTATATTATGAACAGTAAGGGGCCGAGAATAGAGCCTTGTGGTATGCCGCAGGCTATTGATTCATGATTACTTTTTATATCACTGATCGTAACAATTTGCTGTCTGTTAGAGAGATATGACAGAAACATGTCGTGAGCAGTATCCCTGATGCCGATATCATAATTATAGATTTCGGAGAAGCAGTCTAATGTAATAAAATCTGGCTAATTGTATCAAATGCCTTTTTCAGAATAAATAACGAGTGCTGCGCGTTTTTGATCAATATTGTTTTTCAACATTGTCACAAGGTCGATTGTTGCAGTTAGTGTTTAGATTAGATTTTGTGCGGAAACCATATTGATTATTTAGTAGGAAGTTTATAGTTTTAAGATAATTATTTAAGCGTTTATGTACTATTTTCTCGTAAATTTTAGATTTTACTAGTATTATTAATACACTTGTGCATGTTAAGGTAATAAAAGTAATCTGTAATCTTCAAAATTACATCTGCATGCAGCAAATCCACAAAATCAGTTTAAAAATAGGCGCAAGTCCAAAAGTAAGTTCGATTCAAAACTGCGACGGATTCAGATTATAACACGTGGTAAATCAACAAGTTGCACTGCAGGACTGCACTTGTTAATCTGTTAAAACAATGAAAGCCACGGCGGCGTGCGGATGAGGCAGACTGAATTTTTTTACTTGTTAAACATTGTATTAGCGTTGGCTTTTGTACTGCGAAGAACACAAATTCTTTTTTTAACATTAGAAGAATATTTATCATTTCTAGGAAAAAATTAATAATTTGAAAGAAATTTATGTATAACGTTCTTGCGATTGAAATAATTTTTTATTTTACATTACATATATAAACACTCACGGCGGCGTGCGGATGAGGCAGACTGATTTTTTTTACCTGTTAAACAATGGATTAGCGTTAGCTTTGTACTGCGAAGAACACAAATTATTATTTTTTAACATTAGAAGAATATTTATCATTTCTAGGAAAAAATTAATAATTTGAAAGAAATTTATGTATAACGTTCTTGCGATTGAAATAATTTTTTATTTTACATTACATATATAAACACTCACGCCTGTCACCCAGAGGGGTAGGCAGAGACTACGGACTTCCATTTGGCACGATCCTGACATACCTCTTTATTACGTTTTTATTTTATTTTCTGCTTTTATTTTAAATTGATGCAGTGCAGGTTTAATAATATAAAAATAAACCATACTGTACCAACCATAATATAAATAATAGAAATTCAAACATCCAAACATGCATTTCCTCGCTTTTTTGTCAGGCGTTACGGCGTGATCAAATTTGATCTGATGATTTTTTTTCCAACAATTACTATTTATTATTAAAATTTATGTGGCACTACCTCCGACACTAGAACTACTTAACAAAAAAAGAATCAATAAATTTTATCATTAATTGACGGAGTAATCGAATAACATACATACATAAAAAAAACACAATCGAATTGAGAACCTCATCCTTCCTTTTTTGAAATCAGTTAAAAATTAAAGCCCTTCTCGGTTAGCACTCGAATACCACACGCAACAACAACAAAATATCTTAAACTGTATTACAGCTTGCAGATGTGTGAAATTCGATGTTCCAGAGATAGAACAAGTTGAACTAAAAAAACCGAATTTGAACCGGAAAAGTTCATAACAAAAATTAATTTAAATCTGCATTAGCAGCTTGCAAATGTTTATAGTTCGGTGTTTCAAAGGTAATTATGAATGTAAAAACAAACATGTAAAAAAAATCGAAACTGAACCGGTAAAATTCAAATCCGGTTCAACTTAAGTGGTTGTAACAGCTCCATGTTATGTACCGCTACCAAGAGACAATTATTGCTTACGCACGCACGTAAGCAATTATTGTCTCTTTAAAAGTTCGCTTTCTTCAATTCCTATCTTTTCTAGGACCTGTTTGTTTTATTTATTTATCCAAGATGTCTCTGTTAGCGAGTCTAGTACTTCTTGCAAACTTGTAACTTTTTTCTTTGAATACCATTTTAAAATAAACGATGTTGTCACTAAGATCAACTTATATAAATTTTCTTTTTTATTTATAATTTTATTCCCTTATATTTATTGCACTAATTAATAAGATGAGATATTTTATTTTTTGTTTCACAAAATCATTTTATTGAAATAATACAAATGTCGAATTTAAAACTTTCTTTTTTTTGTCATGATGGCCTATTATTTAATACATATGTAAGTTCCTCCACTTTTTATTTTTGGTACTTGCAGCCTTTTTATTTCTGGTATTCATGTTTAACCATGACAAATTACAGTTCTTTAAATTACCAATAGTCTCTGTACTAAGCCACGAACAAACCGACAGACTATTGAACTTGGCGAAACTATTCCGTTCGTGTTCCTTGTTGTGTTACTACGGAACCTAAGCTAATGCTTGTGAGTTTTTCTCTTTTTCTTAGAGAAACTATCGATATAAAATATCGATATGGTTGCATTTTTTAATTTGTCCGTCTTACACTCATAACTTTTTCTATGTTGAAATATTTAACCTTTATGTGTGTGTAAAATGTAATAGTGTTGGAGATTTAGATTTGTGTGTGCCATAATGACACAAAATTTTATTGAGTTTATTTTGTTCGTAGCATTGGGCGCATTACTCGTCCATTCGGTTGAATGGTCTAAGCCTATAGTTAACAAAATTAAATCCAAATTCAAACATACAACTGCAAGACTTCAAGATACTGTAAGCTCGTTCTGTGTAGTTCAGACCCAAAATTAATATTCAAAAACTGAAGGCACTTAGCCGGGCTATCTATGACATTGGAACGTCAAACATCTGTCTCCCGGTAACCATGGGTGCTGTAACGCACCCGAAACGTCGGGAAAAAATTAGTTAAAGATCAGTTAATTAAACTCGATAAAATCCGTACAAATAGTTTTATTCAATGATAGATATCAGTAAATAAATTAAAGTAAATTGTTAAAGAAGGAAAAGTATGTTTTTATTTGAATCGTTAAAGGACATAATAAAAACAAGCGATTTGTCTTATAGTAGAATCGATCAGTTTAAAAATGTCATTAAAATGTAAACTGAAATGATTGTTTTTAAATTGTTGCTCTTTAAGCTACAAATTGTTAAGCTAAACGAAGAGTAACGGGGTTTCGACATAAACTTGACCGTCGACGGATTATTGATCCCGTTTTATCGATTAAATAATGCTTTTAATGGGATTCGAATACTTTAAAGTGATGCGTTTTTATGTATTATGTGTCTGCGAATATGAACTATTAGAAAAAAATGATAAAACAAGTGCTTCGATGTTGATATAAACCTGAAGTTATTTTGATCGCTTAGGCGTCTTATGAATCTACTGATTTACTAATCGACTGTCCACTGGGGAGAGCTGTCGTCAAAATCTCCCAAAAACTTCGCAATGTGATGCATCAGCATATTGTAAAGAAAAAAATCTTTAAAAACGAAGATCCCGAATGACGAATGAGATATATAAAAAATAAAATTATAAATTTCTTCGCAACCTTCCGCTAAATAAATACAATGATGTGTCTTACCTGGATTGAAGAGAAGAGCACCTCCCGCCCTCCCTCAATTGCATGCACTAACTCCGTCACCACTAGTCCCAGCACCACTACTCCCAACACCACTATTCCAGGTAAGACACACCATCGACGATAATACTGTAAGTGTAAAGGGCGGGAGGTGCTCTTCTCTTCAATCCAGGTAAGACACATCATTGTATTTATTTAGCGAAAGGTTGCGAAGAAATTTATAATTTTATTTTTTATTATAATGGATTTCCGCAAAGTAACGCCTGATTCTATCAATTATCTTAAGAATGAGATATGGCTTAAAGGATAAGCATCCCAGTCAAAAACCTTAAATTAAAAAAAACTAAGAGTACTTCACTACTGATTTCCTTCATTTCCGTTCCGTTCATTCGCAATGTCATTAAATCTCATTCACCGTTCCTTCCCTTCACTTTTAGGATTCTTTTACTCCTCTTTCATTCTTCTTGATTGTAGGTTGTGTTGAATGTGTTATCGGAATCGGAATCGGAATCCAGATTTGGAGATTGAACGCCAATCCTATTTTTGGCCTGGAGTACAAGCAAATTTTATTATTTGTGTTGAATTAATTAGATAATTTGTATTATAAAAAATCTATTTAGGACACTACAACGGTTATATAATAAGATACCATAATTACTTATGTAAAAAGCAATCACGATTGTGATAGACATTAATTTTGTGAACAATAATTAAGTAACGAACTAAATATATTTATAATGTGATTTCGTATCGTGTATACCGAAATTTTAGGAATACACGTATCCTTAGAAATGCATCGCCATTTTGTATTGAAAGTAGGGTGTGGCGCATGATTGCTACACGTCATCGATGTTAATGTTCTAAAGAGCAGAACTAAAATAATAATGGTAAGTTGTGATACTATTGTAATTTTATTATATTAATAACTTATTGATCCTATACTTTACCTAAAATTATTAAACGTTTAACTAAAGGTATGTTGGTATGCTTTATCTAATACGCCGTTGAGCGGAATGTAGATCTGTAATATAATATATATGTATTGCGAGATACTATATTTTATTCACTCGTTTTGCTAATTTTTAATGAAAAACATGCCCTTAAATATATAATGCATCATTTATCCTTTTATTATTACTAATTCTCAAACACGAGGAAAAATTTACACTGACGTCGCCTTGTTTTTGGTAATGAATAATTAGCACTTTCGAATTATTTTTTAAAATCTTGATAACATGAATATTTCCCTATAAGTTGTAGGAAATTTCCATTTTGGTCCAAATTTTCGTAATGGCGGCGCATCGATATAAATGACGCAGTAGCAAGTCTAGTGACGGCGTCGGCTTTCGTCTAGTCGCCATCTTGGCCAATCGGGTCAAACATGATTTGAGGTGTTGGATTGAGTCCCTAATCGAAATTTCTAATCTATTTGCTTTTATAAACTCGTAAAATTATTAGGTATGTTGTATATCGGTTTTAGATGAGCAACATTTTTTCATCGCATTTATCATATCAGGCGGTTAGTCTCAATTTTCAGTGGAGACAACCAATAGCCATTAGCTGCGCAAGTCGGGATTACTTTGCACGAGTGTGTGTGTGTTTGCACAGGTGCACTCTATTCTCTCATAATCCGATTCCGATGACTGATGGACGGCAATCCGGCAAATCCACGACCGGAGAGATCAGACGTAGAACCAATGTTCTGTGTTTGAAACTGTGAAGTATATGTTTTAATATAAGCTTAACAATAACTTCAATGCCAGGCATTTTTCTTATATTTTAAAGATATTATTGTTTATGCCATTTTAATTATTTTATGTCCATGCATATTGATGAAACTATCATGAAAAACATTTAAGTACAAGATATATATACATATATACATATACATATATAATATATATATAATATATATATAATATATATATATATATATATATATATATATATATATATATATATATATATATATATATATATATATATATATATATATATATATGTAATATATTACTGATAGAGGTGTTTGAATCGATCTGTCACCTCTTATAGAACCCATGGGATCAATATGGAATATAACATACAGTAATAAATGCATGACAAACTATATAGTTAGTAGCAGCATTTTTCTAACTAAAAAAATTAAAAACTGCAATTGCTAACCCACCTGCCAAGTTTCTAAGGCGAATATCCCTCCTATGAGGCAGTCTATGGTGGAGGCCTATGCTCAGCTGTGAACTTTTAATAGGCTATAACAGTAGCAGTATTTGTTTTTATACTTGCATATTTACTTTTTACTTACTCTGCATACATAAGGATCCGAACCACTGAACCACAACCAGTCCTTCGCTACTGGTGATATGAGGAAGAGTGAAGTTGCCCAGAGAGCTATAAATATTTCTATGCTCTGTTTTTCTGTTTGATAATGTGTATATCGGCATTCAAAGCAAAGTATCATCCATATCCCAAAATATATCCCAATTTGGTGGCATATCTAAAAGCGACTGAATAAATGTTCATAAGTTAACAACATTTATCAGTAAGCAAAATGTAGGGCAATACCCGCTAGATAAATAGACAACCTGGTAAAACACGCAGATAGGAAGTTAGATGCAGGAGGACTCAGGTCTGTACTTTGTGGTATTCTGTTAGTTAGTTGCTGTAATTATGATGATGATATTCGTAAGTATGGCCAACCTTCCAGGAAAATGCATTCCACTTGAATTGGTACTTATAGAATATTTTATATAATAATTTATTTTTATAATTAATTGGAATGTTTAAAATATGATTGTGTTGTATAACACAATTTTTATATTGGTCTTAAAATATTTGTGTTAAAATGTCTTTGGTAGATGGACATAGGAAGCCCCCCCCCCTAACCTTCCCCCGTTGCGGAAATGTAGTCTATGAGTAATAATTTTTTTTGTAAATTTATAACCTCACTTTTTTATACAGGAATATTGACAAAAAGTTACTTCTGCAATGGCCGTACGGTGTTGGGAGAGGGGAGAGGGGGTCGTGGGAAGCACCCCCTACCCTTACCTTCCCCCGTTGCGGAAATGTATAGTTTATGAATAATAATTTTTCTTTTAAACTTTCACTTTTTATACAGGAATATTGACGCAAAGTTACTTATGCAAGGGCTTTGGCACTGCGGGAAGTGCAGTCCCTTCGCCCTTGCGTAGCAAATCACAGGCACCCATGCTCGCCTCCGCAGCTTCGGCTCACTTAGGTGCCTGCGATTTGCTACAGCGGGCGGGGGCTGCTCTCCCTCTGTGCCTACGGCTTTACAAAAACACTAAGGGTAGGGCAGACAAGACTACGTGCAGTTGGGGTGTGCCAATTCGGTTTTAAAACCGATTCAACTAATCTTATCTGTAGTCTGGTTGCCCTAAACTCTGCTATGATAGTGGTAAATGAAATAATGTAATGTGAATTGTTATAATTTTGTTTTCTGAAAAACCCCTTGACTGCTCTCCACTGCGACTCAATTTGTTGTATATAAGTTCCGTCTCCAGCCACAAATGGATTGTCTGGGTCCGAGTGATTAACTTTTTTATGAGTATCTGTGTTAAAAAAACAAATTGACATATTTGCGTTTCGTTATTGCAATTTTTAGTGAAATTTAATTTATCATAATTAATTCAAAAGGCATTTCTGAAATCCAAAAACAGTGTAAATGGTTCAAGCTTAACCTCATAAATTGAAAACAAAATTAAAAATCAAGTTCCAGACATATACTTCATAATACGAAAACAAATTGACATATTTGCGTTTTGTTATTACACAATTTTTTGTGAAATTTGTTTTTATCGTAATTAATTCAAAATGCATTTCCGCCATCTAAAAACAGTGTAATAGGTTCAAGCTTAACCCTAACAAGCCTCCTAGACTAAAAACATTATCAGAATCAGGTACTGGATGTCTATAGCCAACCCCAAATAACACATTGTTGACCTAAAATTGCTAACAAACATACATAAAGAACTCCATCATAGATTAGTTTACAGTTTCCTATTTATTATATTTTATGTTACATAGACTAACAGTTAGTCATTATTATTTTTTAGTTTTTAATATAAAGGTTGCATATAAAAAAATTGACACCATTTACCTCACCACTTGTCGTATGGGATGTATGTTATAATAAGTAGAGATGGGCCGAATATGAATATTCGGCCGAAAGTTCGGTAAAACTTTTACCGAACCGAATATTCGGCAGGAACACCTCGGTAACTGGCCAATTTATGTAGAAAATTGTTACCGTAAAGCGCGCGGGATCAGTGCCGGACCCAGCCCCTCACTCCCATATTGCCAGACCTGACATGTTACTGACCTAAAATAGCCACAACATAAGCATGTATCTGACATGCTTATGTTTTGACTATTTTTGTAAGAAAAAATGTATTTCGTTGTTGTGTTCTTAGTGAAAATCGATAATTATATGATAAAAATGAGTGGCAGGAGATCTACTATTTGGACTTATTTGGTAAAGTTAAATGTACTAATGTAATGTAATGTTTCTTTGAATCCAAAAACATTTTATCAAGCTTTCTATTTGCTACAATTGGAAATAAATCTACAGTGCCTTAACATAATGCTATACAAGTAGATTTAACCCACGAATGTTCGGTGATTTAGGCAAATATTCGGCCGTATACGAATATTTGGTAAAGCTGCCGAATATGCCGAATACCGAATATGAAACTAATATTCGGCCCATCTCTAATCATAAGGTGCAACATTTAATTAAAAATAATTAGGTTTATGACAGTGAGTATTATTTTAAGCTTGTATGCTTTTTTGACTTAGTTTTGCTTCGGATCCAATTCACAATATTTGTTACCAAATGGCTTGCATTTTTAGTTCTCATCATTTTGGATCTTGTCAAAATCCAAAAAAGGATTGTGATATTAAAGAAGCATGTTAAAAACTTAAGAGCAAAGATAAATCTAGTTTTTATGCTAATTTAAATAAGCACTCTTGTAATAAAATAGCTATATTTTGCTTCATGCAATTCCCATTGCTCTGTATTGTAATTTAAATATCATAACTTTTATGTAAAAAACATTGGTTGGTTGGTATATAACACAATCTTCACATGATTTAATTTTATAAGAAATATATTAATATAACTATTTACATGTGGAATTTAATTTTAACATTCTTTCAGTTTATAAGTTATTGCTTTATGCACCATTTTTACTTGTACTTTAAAGTCTACTATGCAAAAACAAATAACATATTTGTCAGTCTGAAGGGCAAACTAAATTTCTTTGCATCTCGATTTTTAAGCATAGTTTACTGCAGCTCAACTGCGTTTGGCAATTTTCCAGCACTAAGAATACTGCCATGTTTTGTACGTTCCTCTTCATGTAAATGATGTTGATCATGAAAAACGCATAAATTGTTAACAAATGGTTATATTAAAATTTTGCATTGTAGTATTTAATATGATAAAATAAAAAACCATTTACTTCTGCAACATAAATTTGTTACTCTTTCCTCATTCATTTGTTTTACATGACGTACCATCAATCCTATACCTTTAAATGAGCAATTCTTGTATATATTATATAATCGGAATCTCTGAAACGGCTCCAACAATTTTTATAAAATTTAGTGTCCGGGGGGTTTTGGGGGCAATAAATCGATTTAGCTAGGATTCATTATTAGAAAATGTCGTTTTGTCCGTGTTTTCAGCCAATGAAAAACTGCTACAATATAGAAGGTAAATTTTGGCACTGTATTAACGATCGTAGTAGCTCAAGCGGATATCGGGCCGTCGCGAAATCGTAGTGCCCTGGTTCGCGTCCTATCATCGGTCCGCCTTTTTGTCCCTTTTTTTCAAGTTCCTTTCTTTTGTGAGAAAATCTATTATTTTAAAAAACTACTAAAAAAGGGCTTTTTAGTATTTTTTTTAAAATACGAAAATTTTAATTAAACTAATTGCACTCATGATTTTTTTATTCAAATAACTAGTTCAGTTTTTTCTATTATGTCAATAAGATTAAAAAATATTATTCTTGTTTCATCAGTATGTAATTTGCATGTCAATATAATTTCAAAAAAAGTACCAAAGAAAGCTCGGTCATCCAGGTACTGTTATTATTATTAAAAAAAAAAATCAATCATTTAGTTGTGATTTCTTGATACCTATACTCTAATTATGGGCTTTTTCTATAGTTTATAATTTAGACTACAGACTACTCAAAGAATCGTCTAACATTTGAAATGTTATACACAATATAGGTAAATTGTGTAATTTTTTTTGTTATTGGTACTGTCTTCACTTAGCATACATGTTGCATCAGATGTTATTTTGTATAGATTTGTTCTTTTTAAGTTAACCTTATCTATGTTTAAAGTGAAACTGGCATTTACAAGTCATCTTGGGTAATGTCCCTGAGAAAAGATGTAGGAAAGCTTGTACCTAGCTGTTTCTGTCAAGTTTTGGAACAGTGTTTTGGCTTTGACACAACAGTTCCACTGTTATTTTTGAAAACTGGTTTTTCCTTATAAGATAAACACATCTCAATACTCATGTACTATGTTTAAATGCTAAATATTTATTGTTATCTCTGATGACTAAAATAAATGCCTCGTATGTTTTATTTACACTGGCTATTGGACATTTTTTAAGCAGAAGAACATTGTATGCACTGCTGTATTTGTTCAATAATAGATAAATAGGTGGTAACAACTCAGTTGCTCCTAGACAGTAAAACAGCCTTACTATCCAAGTAACGAGTTATTTCAAAACTCTACAAAGGCTGTCATTGTAAGCAAGCTTACATATTGTAATTATCATCTATCAGTATTTGAACAAAACATTTAGATGATATTGATATGTTTTAATTCTTTACCATCATAACCTGAATCCCATGTTCAAACACGGGATTTTGGTTATGATGGTATTCAAAAGCATAATGAGGAGGAGGTGCATTGTTGGGGGAGGATTTATCATGAAAATTATCTGATAATTTTTTTAAAACCATCACAGGCTTTTAAATTATTGTAATTACAACTCTGTTCTGTTGTATTTTTATTAACATTAAGTAGCACGACAGACGTTGATCTACCATTTCCGGTAAGTGGCGCGCGGTAAGTGGGTTTCACTGCAGACATTTTATGGTGCTAAAACTTATAACTTTTAGTGTGAATATAATCTTATTGGTCCATAAATATAAAAAAAAATTATAGCTTGATTACAGCGCCACCTATAGGATCCTAGCAGAGCTATAGACCATTGTCTCAACAAAACAAATATATTGTGTAAATATACCTCAATCGATCTAGTCATTCAGAAGTTACAGGATCACATATACTCACTAACAATTTATAAAGATTATTATTAGTCTTGTAAAATGTTTTAAGTACATTTGATGTTAAATCAAATGCCAATCAAAAATTCGTCACAGGATTTTAACTTGTGGTCCATCCTGCATGCAATAGGTGAAACATCGGGAAAATCATTTGCAATGTTTCAGAACAAAAGCTTTTTTTTAAACGTTACCTAGAAGGTAAGGTAGGTAATTACAATAAGTACCTACCTTACCTTCTAGAAAAACCTGCGATGGTTTTAAAAAAATTATCAGGTAATTTTCATGATGAATCCTCCCCCTACAATGCACCTCCTCCTCATTATGCTTTTCAATACCATCATAACCGAAATCCATTTGTTATGATGTTCAAACATGGGATTCAGGTTATGATGGTAAAGAATTAAAACATCAATGTCGTCTAAACATGTTCAAATACTGATAGATGCTTACATATTGTAATTATTACAATATGTAAGCGTGCTTACAATAACAGCCTTTGTAGAGTTTTGAAATAACTCATTACTTGGATAGTAGGGTTGTTTTACTGTCTAGGAGCAACTGAGTTGTTACCACCTATTCTCAATTTTGTTATTATTGAACAAATACAGCAGTGCATACAATGTTCTTCTGGTTAAAAAAAGTCCAATAGCCAGGGTAAATAAAACATGAGGCATTTATTTTGGTCATTAGAGATAACAATACGTATTTAGCATCTAGACATAGTAAATGAGTAGTGAGATGAGTTTATCTTATAAGGAAAAACCAGTTTTCAAAAATAACAGTGGAACTGTTGTATCTAAGCCAAAACACTGTTCCTGTTCTAAAAGCGACTAATGTTCCAAAACTTGACAAAAACAGTTTGGTACAAGCTTTCCTATATTTTTTCTTAGGGACATTACCAAAGATGAAAAGAGATTAACTTGAAACACCTGAGAACTTGTAAATGCCAATTTCACTTTAAACATTGAATAGGAAAACTTAAGAACAAATCTATACAAAATAACATCTGATATACCAATAACAAATAAATTTTATACAATTTACCTATATTGTGCATAACATTTCAAATGTTAGACAATTCTTTGAGTAGTCTGTAGTCTCAATTATAAACTCTAGAAAAAGCCCATATTAGAGTATAGGTATCAAGAAATCACAACTAAATCATAAAGATTTAAAAAAAATAATAACATTGATGGTATGTCATGTAGAACAAATGAATGAGGAAAGAGTGACAATTTATGTTGCAGAAGTAAATGGTAGTCGCCAAGCGACTCCCTAGACAAGTGTATCAAGCAAATTGGCAATGTATTGAAGATAAGCCAGTTATAGATAAAAAAGTACCCTTAACTTACGAGCATATATGTATAGATATAATTATATATTATAGTTATTTCAGGTAGGGCCTCCATAGCCTGTCTACAGTCTACTACATTTTTCCTAAGCAAGTGTGTTGATAAGTGAAGTTTCTATGTACCCCAGTGGACAAACGTTACCAAAATGGATTGGTATGATTGGTTCCGGCCCTATATTGGCCAGAGTCGATCCTCTTCTGGTCAATTCGTCTGCTGCGTCGTTGCCCCTGAATCCACTGTGTCTTTTAAATCCATTGCAGAGTTACATTTTTGTGTTTAAATACCTTATATAGTTGTTTATGGTGTTCATATATTAGTCCCGAGTTCACCACTTTGTAATTCAGAGATTGTTCTTATGGAGAAGTCTTTTACCTTCCGGGCATTTATTGATATGGCCGCAAGGATGATACCCATACATTCTGCCTGAAAGACTGTGTTACTGTGTGAGTAGCCAGCGGTTTACTTATGTTGATATTGTGGTCTTCCGAGAAAACTTCAGATCCTGTACCTTCATTTGTTTTGGAACCATCCATGAAATTTCTCTTCGTTTAATCCTTCTGGTTGGTTAGTTTAATTTAATTGTATCTTATATTTCTTATCAAATGAACATTGTTTAGGGATCTAACCGTACTTAGCTTGTAAGATATGGATTTTGGTGTGAATTCTGTCAATTCCTGTCTTGTATGTGTAGGTGAAGTGGGATTAGCTCCGGCATAGCCTCTAAGGATGTTTGTCGTGCAGTTCTTATGCAGCCTGTGGCAGCCATACATGCTACTCTGCTATCACTGAAGCTTCTTAATAGTTCTATAGTATTAATTCTATTTACACAGTGCAAAAAGAAATTTCCCACTATGCGAAAAATTATGGCAGCTTGATTAGCAATCAAGATTTGAATTATGAAAGAAGTAAGACAACTGCGACAAATTATGAAAAACTTATGGGTTTCTCAAATTAATATTTAGTCGGTCTAATATTAGATATTTTTAGAGGAAATATTGATAAAAAATGTAAAGTATTAAAAATGAGTAATAAAATGTAATGCTTAATTTGTAAGATTATTAATTTATTCTAAATAAATCTTTTTTTGCCGACAGTAAATTTTAGTTTCCGCTGACGTCAAGCGCACGGTTTCATTGAAATAGCAATTTGTGGGGCTTATAAAAGTTACCCAACAATATATTTAACATTAATGTATAGCATAAAATGATCAGTATATGAGCTCACCTATACCCCTTACCTGCCATTATACTGGTTAATTGTAAAATTTTATTTAAATTCAATTTTTATAAGTGTAACATTAAATCATTAAATACGATCTTTTAATAGTAATGAGCATAATATTAATTTAATTTTTTGTTGCAGCCACGAATATGTCCTATGCAATTGTTGAACTGTCTCAGTGTTCTCTTATCGCCACATGGTGGCATTAAAAGCAGGGATGAAGTTCAAAGACTTGCAAGGTATGTATTGATTCCTGTACACTTTTACTCAAGACTGACTAAAGCCATAGAAATTATTCCCCTGCTGATTGTGGTTATAATATCTGTTCAGTTACAGCCTATTAAAGTGGCTTTGACGGCTCAGTGGCGCAATACAATGGCTTAGCAATGAGTTACAGCGCTAAGGGCCGCGGGTTCGAATCCCGCACGGAACACGAGTATTTGTATGGCCTACAAGTAATTGTTCCGGGTCTGGATGTTTGTCCTTCTGAAATTTATAAACTGCCCCCACAATACAGGAGAAAATATTAGTGTGGAGGTAACATTTTTTCTGTTGAACATAGGCTTTGAAAAAAGCCGTTTGGGTTTGCTTGAGTGAGAAAAAAAAGATATACATGATCAAAAGAAAAGCATGAACAAAGTACAAAAAAACTGTGTACAAAATTAAAAAAAAAAACAAATTATTTATATTCTAAATCGAATCGTCTCTCTTTGTCTCTTGTCCGCGTAATAATAATAATCCTCCAGACCGAATTTCGGCCATGGCGGCCTGCCTCAACTGAGGCTAGCCAACGGCGCAGGACAGAATAATAGTGCCCAAGTCTATGCGCAAGCACAGGTGCACTCTCTATTCCCTCATTCTCATAATCCGATGGGACAGTAAACCGACACAACCGGAGAGAGATCAGGCGCAGGACCAACGGCTTTACGTGCTTTCCGAGGCACGGGGGTGAGACACCGCCGACTTCCTGCCTCCGGCCAGCTACTGAGAATTTCTTGACAGAAAAACTCAGTAATTGATTTTTTGGCCCGACCCGGGATTCGAACCCAGGACCTCATGATCAGCAGCCGCACTACTACAACCGCTAGACCAACGAGCCAGAGAAGGGTATTAGCTATAGTTGCAACAGTTGGCAAGCAGGTTGGCAACTGCAGTTTTTTTATTTTTAGTCATTATTAGGAAGACACTGCTGTCCATCTCCTGATTTGTATCCCTCAGTCGCCTCTTACGACACCCAAAGGTGATATGGAGGTAGTGATTATTCCTACACTGCCACTTGACAGTTATATATGTAAAAAAATTTTATAGTTTAAGGGTGACAAAAGAACACAGTCCACCTGATGGGATGCAGTGGCCCATAGGCATCTTCCTGTATTTTCGATTAAGAATCAAAATGCAGATCTATCTATGTAAGATAATATGGTATGTTAATATGTACCACGTAATGTTATGTTAATGTAAACATTTTTTTCCCAGAGTGTTAGTATACAATTGCTTTTTTCTGTTCTTTGCAGCCTAATGACAAAATTTTCTAAGAAACTAGTATCTAAATGTATATACATACAAATTTTAAAGTGTACAGAAACAGATTTACTAGGCTTATTTATGGGATCCGGTGGTTGGAGATTGGTACACATGTGGCTCACAGAAAGCATTGTAGCTAAAAATTGGCCACTCGTTAGAGAGCTTTTAGAGCTTTTGTTGTTATGCCCTGTCGACATAGAAAGGCTTAAAACAAATAACTGTCCAAAGCTAGTCAAGGAATTGTCTAAGGATGGTAATCACTACGGTAAGTTTTTTATTTATATCGAAATTATTTCTACAAAAATATATATTTATTATATTGATATAGGGTTAATTTTAATATACTAAAAAGCTCTCTGACCTTAAAATTTGTTTCTACGACTTTAAAATTTGCTCATAAAATTTTTCATTTAAATTTAATTAAGCTTAAGTAGGTGTTATTTTGTGAGAATTTTTGGTTCATCAAATCTTGTTTAATCGTGAACCATTCCTAGCACAAGTGTTTCAAGCTTACCAGGAGTGGTTGAAAGAATTATTAGTAATGTTAATTAATAAGATTACTAATATTTTATTATATATATAAAATATAAATATATCATAATTAACAAGAATTTGTCTGTAGGCATAAAGTTAATATTTTACAAAACTATGTAAATAGTAATAGACCTTGGCAAGAATAATAATACTCACTATGCTTGGTAGGGGTGGCCTAGTGAATACAGAACCCATACTCATGTGCGGGTATAATACAGCTCTTCATTACCAGCTTGTGGAATTTCAGTTCAGTGTTCTTGAATAGATATTGATTTTTAGTTGAAACAGCAGAGTGCGTCATGTGTAGGTTAGATTGGGATTTGGAGAAATAGATATTCCTCATTATACTCATAACATAATAAAAGTACAATTTTATATTCTAAGATTTTGTATACTTTTTTTTGCATTTTAGCAATCCGAGCTTTAGCTTCGAAACTGGTTGAACAATGGCTAAAGACGGTAAAAGGTGAACAAGTCGTGCCTATAAAACTATCTGACATATCACATATAGTGTTAGATGCGCAAACAGAAATTGAACCAGAAATTAAAAATGAAAACCCTTCTGACGTAGAAAGTGAAATAAAGGAGAATGACAGTAATACTGAGAGCATTGTAAAAGTGGAAAACCCATCTGATGAGTTGCCTAATCAAGAAGAAAAAGAAAACAACATTAAGATCACAGATACAGAAAAAGAAGCAGAAACCCTGCCTGTTTTGAAAATAACATTAAAAAATGGAAAACAAATCTTATCTCAAGTCGATGATAGTGATAGCAAAGCATCAGATGATTTACCTGAGAAAGAGAAAATTAAAGAAAAACATAAGAGTAAAAGTAGAGAAAAATCTAATGATAAACATAGCTATAGCTCTAAATCTAGTTCTTCAAAACATTCAAGCAAATCATCAAGTGAAAAACATAGAAGTAGTCATAAGAGTAGCTCTAGCAAACATAGTAGTAAGGATAAAACAAAAGATAAAGACAAACATTCATCACATAGTTCTAAATCGAAACACAATACAAGCAATAGCAGCATTAGTAGTAATAGTAGTAGTAGTAAACGGTCAAGCTCCTCTAGTAGTAAAACAAGGGATGATAAGTCAAAAGTAAGCTCAGACAAAGAAAAAAGCAAAGAAAAGGATGAAAAAGGCAAAGAATCACCTAAACCCTCAGATGAAAAGGCTGAAGAAAAACAAAATCCAACACCACCGTCTATTCAAAAATTAGGGAAAATACCAAAACTAAGCGACGTTAAAAAAGAAAAGCCATCAATATCAATTGAAGTTAGAAAACCTGATGAACCAAAACCAAAAACTGTAAAAACTTTCCATTCAAAATTTAGAAAACACGGATTAGAGGAAGAAGTGAAACCTCCGCCGTCCCGCGCCTCAATATTAAACAAAAAACCACCACCTGTCTTACCACCAACAATCCCAATACCAAAAAGGCCATCACCAGTTCACAATGAACCACCTCCCGAGAAGAAACTGAAAACAATAGATATTATTGAGAAACCTGGAGCTATTAAGTTGATACCACCAAAACCGAAGCGTAAGTATATTGTTAATATTCTTTCTTTGAATATATTAGTAATATATTTTATTTTTACAGGAAATCAGGGTGCACATTCGCCGTTACTGTCTGCGAGAAAATATGTATATTTAGGTTGTTTTTGTAACTGTGGTAAGTCTAAAATGTATAAAATAACGGGTTTCATAGTGTTTTTTTCACTTGTAAAGTATTTATTGCAAATAAATGCTGAATTACATACATATCTTTCGTTGAATATTGACCTGAATCTGTTCAAAGAATGAAGCACGATGAGGTGATTACACTAGCGCAATGCATTGGATCCACCCGACGATGTGCAGCAGAACAGATTGGGACATCAGTTACTACAGATGACAATCTTCAACAGTCCATGCAATGGAAACCCGAAGTAAAATAGCTTTTGATGGATTTTGTAATAATAAAACAACTACAAACTAAATTATAAACTAGTACATAAACATACATCATAAAGTGCTATGCGGACATGAAATGTACAGGAAACATTAAAACCCATGTGGGCCATCCTATCTGGGTTTTAATGTTCGTAATTGTTACATATATTTAAGAAAATTATGGAATGGCTGATTTTTGGTTGAGAGATGTTTGAAAGATTCAGAGATAAGATTAATAAATTATCCATTCTCTACAAAATTATGCTGAAATGACAAAAAATGTTTTAAAATAATGCTCAACGCAAAGGTATCAAAATGAACAAACACAACATCCGAAAATGACCTGACTTTAAAAGTTAGTTTTCAATTGATGGGTTCTTTGATTTTTAACCACTAAAATTAAAACGAAAACATAACTAAAAAATACACGCCCTTCCCCAAAACGGTATAGAAAATCAGTCAAACCGGAAAACCGGATACAAATCGTTTTGAAATTCTTTTTCTTTAATATTGTTAATATGGTATTTTTTATTTCCACGACCTAGCTCCTAGTTGTGCTGTTGAATTTAATTCAATTCAGTTCAAATAGTACTGTATGTATACTTGACCTTTAATTACCGTCTTGAAAAAATAGGGGGTGTATTATAACACGTGAACGAAGTAAAAGCCTATGGCACTGCTATTTTACAAAATATTAAAACAAATTTTTTGAAATAAAAAATATTTTTGAACAAACCTTGCCCTTGAGTCTGTGACCATGCGAAGTGACAAGTTCAAAGATGCCTATGTTCACATGTTACACCTTTTTTTCCAGACGGTAAAAAAAGTCATCCAGTATGTTTATATATATGTATATACAGAAATTATTTTTTGGATTCGAGATAAATTTTTACTTTAAAATAACCTATTCCCAGAGTAAAATTAACTTTTGGTCAGCACACAGTGGAGTCGTGTGATATGAAAAAAAGCCAAACTGTCACTAAAAAGATGAGAACTAATTGTAATGAACAAGTGTTTAGGTGTCAGGAAACAGAACTTTGAATATTCAACTTCTTCAGTGCACCCTTCCTACAGGAGAATGAAGTAGTGATATAAGTGGCGTCGTGATTAACTTGCAGTTCTCGACTGTATATTATATGGCTTGCCAAATAAACTCTGATATATGACTTAATGATGCAGAGTCTTTAGGACGAATTAGAGAGATTCGTAATCATACATAAGTCATACGTAATGCGTATTGGTCGCCCGAACGTCAGCGCTTATGATGCAGCTGGACCCAGTGCCGCCATTATTTTTCATTCCGTTTTAACTGTTTGACTCTTGTAACATCCATTTTTGCTTTTGACAATTTTGTTTGTCTCCCTCAAGTAGTGTGCAAAAGTGGTACTGATAAGTAATACAAGAAAAACAACATGACGAATGTTTTCGTTTTGCTGATGGCACAATTAGCCGTTCTACGTCTTTACTTTAGAACAAAGTTAAGGCATCTAAATGTGTATTTTAAGATGGGTCGGTTAGAAATGAAGAATAGACAAGAATTTCAAATAGGTACGTCTGGCAGCTATCAATATCATTGAAATCGTAGCACTCAAATAATCTTATTACAGCTTCAATGTAAATGTGTAGATAACTAAAGTACTAAAGAATTAAATTATTTCTTAAGATCAAATATAAGAAGAGTTTAGCGGTTTCTAATTTAATAAATGCGTATAAGTATACTATTTTAAGACCAACCGGTGTCCCTACTATACTTGACCACCTTACCTTACCTATTCAAAGACCAACGACTAAATTTGTTCTTTTAAATTAATGGTGAGCAAAATGCCATATCAATACTTGCGTTTGTTTCACTTAAATCAAACGTTATAATTGAAACGTAACGATTATAATATGTTCTCTGTTTTCTTACATTATGGTTCAAATAAATTAACAAAAATCTATTGTTAATTTATTCACTTATATATAAAACAAATCAGAATTTTGTTAATTCACCAAAATATCAAGTATGTGGTTTTTTTTCCTAAATATATATATCTTATTTTTTAATTACAAAAATGTAATGCTTAGTTAATTTTATTTGTTCATAAACGAATTTTAGTTAGGGTGTCGTTTTAATCCAGTGAGTCCTGCAATTTGCTCGTGGAATAATGGTCACACCAACAGTAGGTAATATAGGTTACTTTTGAATCGATTTACCTTTTAAAATACAAAATCAGCGTAAAAGCTTTTTGTTGGCTGAATGTACTCTTAAAATGAAATATACTCTAAATTTAATCTCAAAAGCGTTTAGCTGGCACGGCCGCCTTTGAAAGTCGAATGTCTTCCTGCTCAATTCCTCACTACAAAAATATACTAATCGCTCAAGCAAAAGAACAAACTTGTAACAAGTTGCACATTGTGCGTGATCGCGTTAAGATGAGCATGAATTGTCTTTGCTTCGACGTCACATGAAATGTACGTAGCGCTTCGTCTCTTTCGTACTTTTTCTGAGACCCTTATATGTAACATAATGTTAAATATTCTTGTTGTCAGAACTTTTGTTTTTACCTATTCTCAACTCCCGATATGTGATTATTTATGGTTACCATGCGTAAAATAGTCTTGATTGAAATAAAATAAATAAAATCTAATAAGTAGAAAATGATGTTTAAAAAGTGCTTAATCGCAGCAATGTTCTTTATTTTTAAGCATATTGTCATTCATATGTTGCGAAAATTTTAACGACACGACGTGGAATATTCAATTTGTAAGATAGTTTAATTTTATTTTAAAAAATGTGAGCCTGTAAGAACAGGTTACAAATTTATTAATAGAAATGGATATATTTACCAGATTCAAGACTATCTGGCAAAGTGAATAAACAAATAATATTGTTTATCCAAAAAACCTGAATTTTAGCCCAGTCCTGTTAAGGTACTATGCCCACTACAACGGCTCATACTATGTACGTGTTACCCATATTTAAGACTTACGTATGATGCATATGTTGAAATTGTCCCGATCTTGGTACGAAATGTAGTGGGTAGTTTTAAAGTACGTTTAAGCGCTTTGGCTAAGTTTTTTAGGCATTCAGTTCCTATAGGCGTTTAACGACGTCAAATTAACTAGATGATAAAACAATCTGGCAGCGACATAATGCAACGAGTAATTTTTGGGTGATAGTAGTTAGGGAAATTTGTTGCAAAGAAGTGCAAAAAAATACGACAAATTGATTAAAAACTACTTTTACGGAATTTATCGCGTTTTATTTATATTAATTTTAATACCCGACGTTTCGGGTGCTTTCCAGCACCCATGGTCACGGGGGACTGAGGTGACTGATGTCCCGAAGTCAAAGTTAACCCGGAGTACCTTCAGCTTTTTAATTATTGTCTTTGGTCCGATCTACGCAGAATGAACTAACTGTATTTTGAAGTCTTGCAGTGGTATGCTTGGGTTTAGTTTTAATTTTATAGGATCCCAAGCAGGTGGTGGTAGTACCCAGCCTCCTTCTCTATTGAAATTAGGATGTTTTTTAATTTCAATAGCCTCACGCATCATCCTTGGTAGGAATCGATGTTCTTTCGCGAGGATTTGTGGTCTATCAAATCTGATGTAATGGTTGGGGCCATCTAGAATATGATCGCAAATTGCAGACTTCCCGGAACGTTGATGCTTGAAACGTCGGGTATTAAAATTAATATAAATAAAACGCGATAAAATCCGTAAAAGTAGTTTTCATCAATGTATAGTGTTCGCGTAAATATAAGAAATCATTAAATACGACAAATTTCAAAGAAAATTATTCTTAATAACAGGTCAAAGATACCTTGTACATATTTATTTCCCTTTAAAAACGCAGTATGCGGAACGACATGACTTATATTTTTTCATACTGGCTCACATCATAGATATCAATGGAAAACGCTAATCACATATCATATAATAGTAATAATATGACAATAGAAATGAATTAGCGCTCGATTACTTCCAAAACCGATGTCGCCACTTACAGCCGTGTTATAAACATACGCAATGCGCAATGATATCTAATGTTTCACATTACATTGCTAGGCGAGTTTGTCAACGTCGTGTGCGTCGCGTATTACGGTAGAACAAAAGCAGCAATGGTAATTGTCAATACAAAAAGCAATAAATGAAAGTTTACAAAGGTAAATATCATAGTAAAGTATTCATTGAGATGTAAATTAGTTAAAACAATGATAATTAGCAAATAATCAACTTACCTACGAAATTTTATGACTTTATTAGTTGAATTACACGTCCTTGATGAGTTTTTACTACTTTTTTTTACTATTATGCTGCAGTTCATTATAACATAAATTCTTGTACGACGTTCCCCGCGCAACTAAATCACAAAGTAGTGAATTATGTTCGTCAACACATACCTAATAGCGGCGACAAGATCACGCGTCTATGCGATTTATTGTCTTATTAATACGATTTCTGTGACTAATGTAGGGCATAGAATTTCATAAACATAGTGGGCTGCTGCCATTGTAAGCGACTTATACTATAATAATATAAAGAGGCATTTTTTTGTTTGTACCGAATAAGCTCCGAAACTACTTGACCGATTTAACCGTTTTTTCACTAGTAGAAAGCTTA